GCCACCTGGGAGGCCTGCGATCTGCGCAACTGTCCCCATTTTCGTGGGCTCCTGGGAGGCCCAGCGGAGGTGGGTCCCACGCGGATCAGCTCGGGACCTCGCCGCCCCCTGGGGGGCTTGCGATCTGCGCAACGGTTGCCATTTTCGTGGGCTCCTGGGAGGCCCAGCGGAGGTGGGTCCCACGCGGATCACCTCGGGACCTCGCCGCCCCCTGGGGGGCTTGCGATTTGCGCAACTGTCGCCACTTTCGTGGGCTCCTGGGAGGCCCAGCGGAGGTGGGTCCCACGCGGATCACCTCGGGACCTCGCCGTTCCCTGGGGGGCTTGCGATTTGCGCAACTGTCGCCACTTTCGTGGGCTCCTGGGAGGCCCAGCGGAGGTGGGTCCCACGCTGATCACCTCGGGACCTCGCCGCCCCCTGGGGGCTTGCGATCTGCGCAATTGTCGCCACTTTCGTGGGCTCCTGGGAGGCCCAGCGGAGGTGGGTCCCACGCGGATCACCTCGGGACCTCGTCGCCCCCTGGGGGGCTTGCGATCTGCGCAGTTGTCGCCACTTTCGTGGGCTCCTGGGAGGCCCAGCGGAGGTGGGTCCCACGCGGATCAGCTCGGGACCTCGCCGCCCCCTGGGGGGCCTGCGATCTGCGCATTTGCCGCCACTTTCGCCGGCTCCTGGGAGGCCCAGCGGAGGTGGGTCCCACGCGGATCACCTCGGGACCTCGCCGCCCCCTGGGGTGGCTTGCGATCTGCGCAACGGTTGCCATTTTCGTGGGCTCCTGGGAGGCCCAGCGGAGGTGGGTCCCTCGCGGATCACCTCGGGACCTCGCCGCCCCCTGGGGGGCTTGCGATCTGCGCAACTGTCGCCACTTTCGCGGGCTCCTAGGAGGCCCAGCGGAGGTGGGTCCCACGCGGATCACCTCGGGACCTCGCCGCCCCTTGGGAGGCTTGCGATCTGCGCAACGGTTGCCACTTTCGTGGGCTCTTGGGAGGCCCGGCGGAGGTGGGTCCCACGCGGATCTCCTCGGGACCTCGCCGCCCCCTGGGGGGCTTGCGATCTGCGCACTTGTCGCCACTTTCGTGGGCTCCTGGGAGGCCCAGCAGAGGTACGTCCCACGTGGATCACTCGGAGGTACGTCATACGCCTTTCTTTCAACGCCCCTGTGTTTCCATTTTGTATGTTTGCCGTTCCTTTTCTTGCTGCGCTCTTCTGAAATCTCTGCTGGGTGCTCTTCTTGCGCACTGCGGGTCCTTCAGAATGCCAGTCAGCATTGAGTGGGATCACCTCGGGACCTCGCCGCCCCCTGGGGGGCTTGCGATCTGCGCAACTGTCGCCACTTTCGTGGGCTCTTGGGAGGCCCGGCGGAGGTGGGTCCCACGCGGATCTCCTCGGGACCTCGCCGCCCTTTGGGTGGCTTGCGATCTGCGCACTTGTCGCCATTTTCGTGGGCTCCTGGGAGGCACAGCGGAGGTGGGTCCCTCGCGGACCACCTCGGGACCTCGCCGCCCCCTGGGGGGCTTGCGATCTGCGCAATTGTCGCCACTTTCGTGGGCTCCTGGGAGGCACAGCGGAGGTGGGTCCCACGCGGATCACCTCGGGACCTCGCCGCCCCCTGGGGGGCTTGCGATCTGTGCAATTGTCGCCACTTTCGTGGGCTCCTGGGAGGCCCAGCGGAGGTGGGCCCCACGCGGATCACCTCGGGACCTCGCCGCCCCTTGGGGGGCTTGCGATCTGTGCAACTGTCGCCACTTTCGCGGGCTCCTGGGAGGACCATCGGAGGTGGGTCCCACGCGGATCACCTCGGGACCTCGCCGCCCCCTGGGGGGCTTGCGATCTGCGCAATTGTCGCCACTTTCGTGGGCTCCTGGGAGGCCCAGCGGAGGTGGGTCCCACGCGGATCACCTCGGGACCTCGCCGCCCCCTGGGGGGCTTGCGATCTGTGCAATTGTTCCCACTTTCGTGGGCTCTTGGGAGGCCCAGCGGAGGTGGGTCCCACGCTGATCACCTCGGGACCTCGCCGCCCCCTGGGGGGCTTGCGATCTGCGCAACTGTCGCCACTTTCGTGGGCTCCTGGGAGGCCCAGCGGAGGTGCGTCCACGTGGATCACTCGGAGGTACGTCATACGCGTTTCTTTCAACGCCCCTGTGTTTCCATTTTGTATATTTGCCTGTCCTCTTCTTGCTGCACTCTTCTGAAAGCTCTGCTGGGTGCTCTTCTTGCGCACTGCGGGTCCTTCAGAATGCCAGTCAGCATTGAGTGGTCCTGAGTATATTCGCCACATGTATAGAAAGGGTTGGGTACGGCACAGGGTCATAATTAGGACGGCGGGGTTGCTATCGGCCGGCTAGGTGGGGATGTGGGGGTGTTAAACCATAGGCAGTAAGGATTGGGGTTCGGGTAAGGGGTTAAGGTTGACGGATTGGGCTTAGGGTAGGGGTTAGAGTAGGGATTAGGGTTTTAATTTGGGGTTAAGGTTGGGGTTTGGGTCGAGGTTAAGGTTAGGCGTAGGGTGGGCGTTAGGGTTAGGAATGGGGGGTTGGGTTAGGGGTCAAGTTAGCCAGCTCGAATGGGCCAGAGGGTTCCGTCCACTCCCACCCGCCCTCCCACAACAAATCAGCAAGTGCGTCGCGTCCGACGCCTGTCGCTCATCTTATATCGTGGGCGGCTAGACGTTCAGCGCGCGACATGAGCTGCGTCCTATGTTTCCGCGTATTGAGCAACGTCGACGAGAAGCACGACCGTGCGCGATGTGCGCCGCGCTCCGCTCCAGCCTCTCATGTTGCATCGTTTGGCGACAACATGTCCAGCGCGCGAAGTGCGCCGCGTCTCATTCCAGCCACGCGTGTTGCACCGCCGATCGTTTCGCTCCTGCCGCGCATAGAGGAGGGGGAGGAGGAGGAACAGGAGTAGGAGGAGGAGGGGAGGGAGAGGGAGGGAGGGAGAAACTGATGAGGAAAATGATAATGCCTCTTGGGAATTCGCGGGGCGTCCTGGGAGCTTTCTGGTCTACGCCTGAGGGCCTCTTGGATAGATCTTCCGGGTTGGAACATTGTCAACACAAGTAGGCGCTAACCTCACCATCTTTCAAGCGCCACATGAAAATCAATATTTGTGTTGCTCCCCAGGACCTCCTGGACGCATTTGTTCGACCTCTTGGGGGTCTCCTGAGGCACTGGCTCGAACCGCACTTGCTTGAGGCATTGTGACTTGCCGCCCGCCCAGCTCCTCAACCCGACAGGCCGCAGCGTCGACAACAAGAAAATTCATGTTGACGAGGAGGCGTCCCCGCGCGATGTGCGCCGCGTCCCATTCCCGCTACGCGATTCGCAGCGCCGACGAGGAGAAAATACATGATGGCAAGTAAAACGTCGTCGTTGCTGTTTTTCGACAGGTAGGACGGGGGGTCCTGCGTAGGGTTTGCAAGGCGTCCGCGCGCGATGTGCGCCGCGCCCCATTCGTGCTACACTTTTCGCAGCGTCGACGACAAGAAGGTCCAGGTTGATTTTGGGAGAAAAAAAAAAACGTGGACTTTGCATTGTTTTTTGATGGGTTGGACGCGACCGCCCGCTTAGGGTTACCCGAGCGCTGTTCATTCCGTCCGATTATTGCTGCACGTTTCGCAACTCGACGACATGTCGGCGACGAAAAAGTTGAGTTTGTGTTTTTTGCAGTTAGGACGGCGGGGTCGCTATCGGCTGGCTAGTTGGGGATGTGGGGGTATTTAGTCATGGGAAGTAAGGATTAGGGGTTAGGGCATGGATTAGGTTGAGGGTGAGGTGTGGTAGGCGTTAGGTTGAGGGTTAGGTGTGGTAGGGATCGCGTTCCGGAGCCAGGGGGCGGCGTGGCGAAAGGGGGGGAAGGGGGGGGTCCGAATTTCACGTTCAAAGGGGAGGGGGCCCCGCCCCTTCCTTTGAAAAGGGGGGGGGTCCGCCGGCGACGGGTCGGGAAAGGGGGGGGTGGTCCGCCGACGATGGGGCGGGAAGGAAGGGGGGGGTCCGCCGACAACGGATCGGGTAAGGGGGAGGGGGGTTCCTGGACCCCCCTCCCTCTCGGGTGATTCAGCGGCGCGCCCTCTGCGATTTTACCCAGTCGACGAGGATATTTTACATGAGCTTCCAATTTCTACTCTTTCCAGCTTCCCTGTACTTGGGGCCGTCCTGAGGCGACCTTGAGGGGTCTTTGGGGCATGTTTGGGGCTACCTTGGACCATTCTTGGACATGTAACATGTCCAAGGAGGACATCTTGGGTTTTCTGGGGCCCTCCTGGAGCCACCTGTAGATCTGGCACCTCGCGGGGGGAGGGCTCCAAATACAGAGGGAAGGGGTACGGGGAGGGAGGATCCCCTTCCCGAAAGGGAAGAATGGGGGTTAGCACAACAAGCGCTTTGGACCACTCACGCCCGAAGGGCTGGTGGGATATTTGGTATTCACTTGGTCAGGAATCGGGGGTAGAGGTGATCTGCACGGGGAAGAGGTGAATGGGCTCTGGTTGGGGTCGAAGAGATTGGGTGGCAAAGCGGAGGTAGTACGCCGTTGCATGTACTCACGGAGAGCGTGTGGAAATTCACAGATCGGACCGTCAAATTTTGCCCCATTCCCCCGAAGGCGCACTGGCTTGTGCTCCGTGGTTGAGCGCTGAAATGAGGTCGTGATTCTTTCCCCGTGGTCCCAGCGTGGAGCTGCAGACGAGCTGTTTCTCGAGAAGGATTCCAGCATCCGGGTGAGTACGTTTTCCCATGGGAAATTCGGGAGTCAGGAGAAGAAGGTGGAGGAGGAGGAGGGGCAGGAGCAGGAGCAGGAGCAGGAGGAGGAGGAAACGCAGCAACATCAGCAGCAACAACAGGAGGAGGGCTGGAATATACGGGAAGGAGAAGGAGGCTGTGGGAGAAACGAGGGGTGAGGCTGCCTCCCTGCCTTTCAGGCGCACGCGTTGAGAGCCGAGTCGAGAGGGAGGGGGCAGGGCTTATCTTTAGGATCCGCGATCGGTTGTCCTTTCTGTGATTCATATTTGGGGTCAAGCTGTCATTTCAGGTTGCGGTTGACTTTGCGTATAGCAGCGATGGGCGAAGGCGGCTTTGGAAAGGGAAAGAACGACGGCAAGGGCAAGAAGGGCGGTAAGAAGGGAAAGAAGGGAAAGAAGGGAGCCGAGGAGAAGGAGTGGGTGCCATGCACCAAGCTCGGGCGTCTCGTTAAGGAGGGCAAGATCACCTCGATCGAGGACATCTACTTGCATTCTCTGCCGATCAAGGAGTATCAGATTATCGACCAGTTCTTCGCGCCAGGCACCCTCAAGGACGAGGTGATGAAGATCCACCCGGTGCAAAAGATGAGCTCGGCCGGTCAGACGAACCGTTTCGTGTGCTACGTCCTTGTCGGCGACAACAACGGTCACATCGGCCTGGGATCGAAGTGCTCCAAAGAGGTCGCAACGGCCATCCGCGGTGGCATCATAGCAGCCAAGCTGAGCCTCATCCCCGTTCGGCGGGGGTACTGGGGGAACAAGATCGGCCTCCCGCACACGGTGCCGATGAAGGTGGCCGGCAAGTGCGGCTCGGTCCGCGTGCGGCTCGTGCCGGCGCCCCGCGGCTCGAGCGTCGTCGGCTCTCCCGTGATGAAGAAGATGCTCGCGTTCTGCGGCATCCAGGACCCCAGGCCGCCTGAACGGGGCCGTGGCACATGGAGTCGGAGGATATCCAGGGCGCGTTGTCCCCATCCCGTCGCCGCCGATGGATCGCCGATGCGTTTCGCGATGCGCTGCGGTCCTCAGACCCCATCTGCTCGGGCCCCGTCTGCGCGGCCTCCAAGGACTGCTTCACCTGCTCCTGTGGGCACACCAGGACCAAGGGCAACTTCATCAAGGCCACGTTCGACGCCCTGAAGCAGACCTTCGGCTACCTCACGCCGGACCTGTGGAAGCCCACGCATTTCATCAAGGCTCCGTTCCAGGATCCTGCTCGTCGTAGTCGCCGTCTTCCCGTCTCCTCCGCCCCCTCCCCCTCCTCCTCCTCCTCCTCGTCCTCCTCCTCCTCCTCCTCCTCCTCCTCCTCCCTCCCACCGCTTCTCCTCATCCTCCTCTTCCATTCCTAGCAGCGCGCAAAAGGGGGCTGGGGCTGGCGGTTTTTGAAGAAGGCACCTTGCCTGTTCAAGCCTCCGTAGAAGCCTCCAGAAAACGGCAGGACCCACCTGAGAAGCCCCCTGCCTTCTCTCAGAAGGCAGACCCCCTTGCCCTGCTTGCCCTATCGCGCGCGTCGCCCTATATGCTCCCTCCTGCTCCTCTTCCTCCTCATCTCCCTTGTCCCTCCTCCATCCCTCACCCTACCCCTCCGAGACAGCCGCATCTGTAGGGCAGGTGGCAGCTGCAGCTGTTGGGCCCTGTACCTAGTTGTGTGGACTCTGGGGGCGGTTGGGAGCGTAAGCCCTGGCCGCCTCCCGAACCCGCTGTGCTATTCCCTCGTAGCACGTCCAACTCCCACTCCCACCTGCTGCGGATGACCGTAGGGGCATGGAATGTCGCAGTGTCTCACGAAGATGCAGTTCAGCACGGCAGGTTCGCGTCCTGCCGACGCGGCGGCGACCTCGGCGCGGGCGTTCAAGGTTGAACGCCGCCAGCGGTCTTCCATCGGCCGACATCGAGCGCTCGGCGATGTCGGAGAGCCGCGACCGTTCAAGGGCGAGCGATCCACGTGGTGTCAGGAACCACCGCGCAGGTCGTCACGCGCGAGCCTGCGGCACGTGCCTCGGCACGCTCGGCCGGCATGCGCGTCTGGCCGCACCTGCTCGGCTGGCGGCCACCCTCTGCGCTGCGCTCTCCTCCTCCTCCTCCCCTCCTCCTCCTCCTCCTCCTCCTCCTCCTCCTCCTCCTCCTCCTCCTCCCCCCTCCCCCTCCCCCCTCCTCCTCCTCGCCCTCCCCCTCCCCTCTCCTCCTCCTCCTCCTCCTCCTCTCTCCTCCCTCCTCCCTCCTCCTCCCCTCCCCTCCTCCTCCTCCACCTCCTCCTCCACAATTACTGAATACTACTCTTCCCCTGATGACGGTTTGAAAGTGCTCGACCCCCCCCCCGCGTATTGTTTTTTACACAGGTTTCCCTGGAGTTGGGTTTTCGCTTGCATTTTTTTCAACATGTTGCTCTCGCTGAGGCGCCGGCCTCATTTTCGGGCCCCGCTCGTTCCGAATCGTGCTCCCGCTGCAGCGTTGGCCTCATTTCCGTGCTTCGCTCGTTCCGAATCGTGCTCCCGCTGCAGCGCTGGCCTCATTTCCGCGCTTCCGCTCGTTTCGACTCGTGCTCCCGCTGCAGCGCTGGCGTCATTTTCCGTGCCATGCCACGGCATGCAATGCAATGCTAGGTTGATGCTACGTTTTGCGGTGCTCTTCTACGCCATGCCATGCCGTGCACTACAATGCATCGGGTACCCTATCGGGATCATTGCCCTGCTCGACATCCGACTGAGCGAGTAGAGAGGGGATCTGCGCCGTGGTAAGGGATGGGAGTGAGGGGTAGGATGTCAGATATGACGCGAGCGCACCTAGCTTGTCCTCCTCCCCCTCCCCGTCCTCCTCCTGGAGCCTCGGGCCCCCGGCTGGGCTCAGGGCCAGCGTGCCCTTCGCCGGGCGGGGCAGCCGCCCCGACGGCTGCCGCCCACGACGCCCCGACCCAGGAGCGGGCACGGCTGGGGCCCTCTAGGGGGCCACATGCGAACCCTACCCCTGCCCCGCACGATTTCTGAGGGGGAGGGTGGGGTTCACTTCGTTGGGGAGCTCCCGAGCGAAGTGAACCCCACCCTCCCCTCAGAAATCGTGGGAGGTGGGGGTGGGGTTCGCATGTGGCCCCCTACCCTCCGGGGGCCCCCTGGGGGCGGGTCCAGGCCACCCAGGTGTCGGGGCTCGCCAAATCGAAGAAGGAAAAGCATAACAATCAGAACAGTAATAATCATTATAATAATCAGATTAATGATAATAGTATTAATGCTACTACTAATAGGAATACCAATATTAATAATACTATTACCAATACTATTGATACCAATAACAAGAATACGAATACTAATAATAATAATTTAAATAATAATGGCACTATTAATCATAGTATTGCGAAGGCCTTACGGCCGATGCCGCCGACCCTGGAGGGCGACCCATGCGTTCTCTAATGTGGCGGGGGGGGCCTCTTGGGGCTTCCTGGGGGCCTCTTGGGGGTCTCGTGGTGGCCTCTTGGGGGCATCTTGGGGCTTCCTGGGAGCCTCTGTCGCCGAGGGCTCGTCGGGCCCCCCGTCTGGGCACCCTGTTGGAGCCGTTTGGGGAGCTTCTGGGGCCATCTTGGAGGCATCTTGGGCGGTCTTGAGGCTCTCTTGGGTCATTCCGGGGCTCTCTTGAGGCCTCTTGGGCTACCTTGGGACAATCGGTGAATATGCTCTTCTCCGCCTCATCGTACACTTGCCTCTCCTGCTGCCTGCCTTGTCATACCTTGACATTGGTATTACTGCATACCGCAGCTACCTTTGCTGCTCGAGTGAGAAAAGGAGCGCGCCGCTGCGCGCCCGCGTCTGGGCGTCGGCCGGCCGGCCTCCTCCCTTTCCTATACTTGAACACAGTTGCTTAACGGACAACATATTGATTCATCGATGTCTCATTCCGTATCCTCTACCACTGAGCGTAGTAAACATGAGACCTTCATTTCTTTGGCGTCTTACCCCGATGCTCGGAGGAAAGACTGGTTATCAGCCGAAACCCGCGACCAAGTCGCAACTGGAATGAGCTATGATGAGACAGACGAAATGCCCGCGAGATTACACGATGTGCATCGAGACGGGCAACAAACATCAAAACAGCGGCCCAGGGGAGGGCCGTTCTCTTCCTTCTTCTAATCCCATTCAGGTTTCTCGTGGAAGGGTTGCGGGAGAAGTCATAGATTTGTCTGCAGATGACTCCCCCACTTGTATTCCGATCAGAGATCGTGAACATACCCCAGACCCGATAAGGCGGAACGGCCCAGCCGGTAATGCTAGGCGAAGAGCTTTTTCATCTTGGATTGCTGAGTCCTCAGAAACAATACATTCCAGCCCGATTGCCATGCGTTTTATCGAGCCGGCCGCGGGCCCAGCCAGTAGGTCGCGAGACGTAAAGGAGTCCGGCGGTACGCTCCCCGCCGTCCCAGACGGACGGGGTCGCCCGCGCGGGGCTCACCCCGCCCCGATCGCCTTGAACGGGCAAGCCGGTCAAGACAGCGACGAACAGCTTGATGACGAAGACGATGTCAATTCTATGGAGGCTGACATGAAATATGCTAATTATCACGTATCACCAAGCCGAGTTTTGCCGCTGATGAGCGCCGCTGACCACCCCGCCCCAGATGGAAGGTCGTCCCCGGGGCAGGAGACCATTGACTATGATCACTTGGAAGCTCTTGGGAGGGCACTTGCGGAGCCAGATCTAGACACCACGATCAGTGACCTAGACCGCGAGGCCCCAGCGGTGCATGAGCCGTGGGGAACACCTCTACCGCCCCACGCGGCAGAGGTCGAAATGAGTTCCCACATCCATGTAAAGCATGACCGGGAGACCGCGGGTCGAACGCCAGCTCCTCAACATAAGAAGCACAAGAACGAGGATATGATTTGAATGCTCCCCCGCTTCAGGAGGGGTTCTACCGGACTGCCGTCGCCCCGGGCGATTGGCAGCCGTCAGTGCCCGCGGTAGTTGAGGACGATGATATGTTTGATCCCCCAGCCTCGCTCCCAGAGTTGGTTGAACAGGATGAGCGGGATGAGGCGCTTCGGGAGGTGGCCAAGCCACGGGGGAGCACGCGCGTTCGCCTTCGATCGTCTGCTTCGAGCAGGGGAAGGCCCAAGATCCCACGATCTGGTGCCCGATCGACTTCGAGGAGCAACAGTATTCTTTCCATGCGCGAGGCGTGCTGGAATCGAGGCCCTAATTGCCTGCCCCACGCGGAGAATAGGTGCCCGGGGAAAGCTTACAGACAGGGGGGGCCTTGTAAGCGCCCGGTGTGTGGATACTGCTCTGATGTGTGTCCCAATTGCGGCAATAGATGGTTGTGTGAGGATTGCTCCCAGATGGAAGAACATAACTGCCAGTGCCATTTCATCCAGGCCATGCAGGATCAGGCCAGAATCATGGAAGCTAAGAGACAGCAAGAAGCCACGGTCCTAGAAGCTCAGAGGGCCGAACAGGCTCGACTGGATCGAGAAGAAATGATATTGCCGGTGTTCAGAAGAGGTTAGAGGCTGATAGGATGGCCCTGGCCCACGCTGCCAGTCGGCGGGAACAAGAATTGATAGAACAAATGTTCTATCAGACCGCGGCTGCCCAGCAGCGCGCGGAAGAAGCCGAGAACAGGATTGTTCAGGCGATATCTTCTGAACGACAGGCTGCCCTGGCGGCAGACAGTCAATCTGTAGATGCCAAGTCCGCCTGCGCCGCTGCCGCGGTGGCGAGGATAGAGGGGGGGGGGGTCGCGATAGCCAAGGCAGAACATGATCGACAGGAGCTCCAAGACCAACTTTGTGCTGTCAGGCTAGAAGTGGCCAATGCGCAGATAGTTGATCAGAACAATCAGTACCGAGAAAAGCTCAAGTCGCATGAACATGTTAGGGCATCGCTTCGGCGGATGCAATTTGGCGATGAAGCGTGCCTACCAGCCAAGCCGGCAGGGGCGAGCAGACGACCATCGCCGGCGGCCCAGCCGCCTGGTGCAACGTCGTCGCAGGCCCAGCCTGGCTCGGCGCCCCTAGATGGCGGGATGCCGCCAATGTTGCGGGTAAAAGCTGCCCAGCAGCCGCAGCCCGCGAGAGGGGCGCCGATCAAAATTGCTCAATATGCTCGAATCCGAAGGTCGGATCATGCGGCACGTGCGGATCGCCAAATTGCAAAAACCATTTTGACACGAGCGCGAGGCGATGCGTCGCTTGCACTCAACGAAAGAGCCTGCCCGTGGAACAGGCGG